GCAGTTATAATCCTTACTCATGGTCAGATTTTGCCAGCTTTGGCCAGGGAATTTCCTGAGCCCTGAGTCTTTGTAACTTGCCCCAATCTCTGATAGCTCCCTTGCTTTCTGATGTGATGAGATGTAGCAGCTTTATCTCTGCCCCCAAACCCCAGGATCAACCATTCTGCTGAGAAGCCTTGATTTCTTGGAGTGGGAAATGGTATTTGTAGATAACATCTGGGGTGCTAGGGATGTTTATTGCTGCTGGGTCTCTTCAGTGTTTCTGTGGAAGATTCAGAAAGCATGCCACCACTGCCATCTTCCCAGAATCTAGTAGCTACACTTTTCAATCAGAAAATTTCTCTTTCTGCACAGCTGTTAGGATTAATTGTGTTGCTGCATGACACAGGTGGTCAGTTGTGCTCACTCTGTGCTGGTAAGTATAGACTGGATTCTGGATCTCTGCCTCAGGCTTTTGAGGAGAGAAAATTTAACTGCCGAGGCTTGGGTTTGTAGGAATGGCGATACTTTCACTGAGTATTTTCCTCACTACTCCTAGAATTGCAGCATATCATTGAACTGCCTATCCTCAGTCTACATAATTCTATAGCATTCCTTTCCCTAATTTTTTGACAGCTACACCTCTAGCTCTGCCCAGCTAAAACTTCTGCTAGACAGTTGAAGATTGAGAGAGATATGTAGGTCACTCTTGTCCCTCTTGGTATGGAAAAGCTTCAGAATTCTTGGAGAAAATTGATTTTTTTTCATTTCCATTTTGTGACACTGATACGCATGCTGTTGGGATTAAGGAGGAAGTGCAAGAAATGGTCCTTGACCTAAATGATGACCTAGTCCATTATTGTAGAGATATTCCGTCCTACACGGAATAGAGATAGCCCAACCCTTCACAACTGCTTGAATTGGAATTCTTATTCTTCTACTGAAGTGTAGGCAAATTACTTTTATATCCCTGCACCTTTATTCCTCATAAGTAAAACAAAATGTAGATTTTGAGATCTGTTTGTCCTCCAAATTATAAATTTCTGGGAATGAAACAGGCTTAGCTCTACTTTTGGGTTTACTTCTAGCCTTTGAGTCCTCCTTACTTGAGTGATTGCTACCTGCTGCATTTTTCTTGGGCTCCCCGCCCACCTCCTCCCTCATTCCTGTGTATCCTCAATCTTACATCAGACTTCAGTCTTTCTAAAGCAACCACGTTACTCCCCAATTTTTAAATGGTAATACTTTGTAAAGTATGAACTCTGCAAGATGGGACCTGGCTCTGTAATTCCTTCTTGGTTTTCCTTTCATGCCCCTTTACTCCAGCAGCCAAACCTATCTCTGGCCGTATGGAACCATTCACCACACCTTAAACTCACCAGGCTTTTTCTTAATCCGAAATTCACGCACACTGTCCCATCCAACCAAACTGTTTCATTTATTTCCTTTTTGGAGAATGCCTGCTAATTTTTTAGTCCCCAGCTCTAATGTGTATCTGCAAATCTTCCTTGACCTTTCTGGGCGTTTAGCTGGTTTGCCTCTTATCCTTTAATACTTTGTATGTTTTGTACTATGGATTTATCATATTGAATTATAATTTATTTTGTTTCCTTTTTTAATGCAATCACTATCCCCAATGTGGGGCTTGAACACACAGTCCCAGATCAAGAGTCCCATGCTCTACTGATTAAGCCAGCCAGATGCCCCTATAATTTATTGTAGAATTCTCTTTTTTCCTTCAGTCTCCCAGAGGGTGAATTTTAATTCAGCTAGCAGTGCTCAACTCAATATAGTTAATGGACAGATGAATGGATAGATGGATGGTTGGATGGATGGATGGATCGATGGATGGATCGATGGATGAATGACCAAAGTAGAAGTGCCAGTGTCAGAACCCAGGATTCAAGACTTAGTTCTTAATCCCTTAGGACATTGAGAGAGATAATTGATTTTGTTCCATTCTGTACCATTTCTCTTTTTGCCTTTATGAAATTTTATATGTACATTTGGAAGAATAGGAATAATAGGTAAGCCAAAAAAAAAAGCCAACTAATATCTTCCACCCAGAAATAATAGTTAACTGTTTTATGTGCATTATTTATGCTAGAATTTTATCTTTAACATATACAAGTTTTTAACATGTTGTATTCCTGACCTATTGTTTTGTTCTTTATTTTTGCACTTAGAAATATACTATAAACATTTTTAATGTCTCAAATTTTTTAATGGATGCATGGATTATACCATAATTTATTTAACCACTTTAACCATTTAACCTGCTTGAAGATTTTAGAATCTGTAAACTGCAACTGTGATGTCATTTTTGTAGCTATGCGTTTTTGTAGCTTTTGTTTTTGTTGTTTTTGCCTACTCATGACTTTTTCCCTTAGGTTAAATTCTTAAAAGTGAAAATAATAGATAAAAATACTGATTTTGAGTTTTCTGCACTATACCACACCATGTTGAGTGTGCTGGTCAGTTTACTATTGTGTTGGGTCACTGGGGGCAATATTTGCGGGGGGGGGAGCTAACCATTTTGTCATTGTGCATTAATCTACTTTCCTTCTGACTGGCATAACTTCCCTCAATCAGGAACCAGGGGCTTAGCTGGAATTCTGGAGATTTGCTCTGGGTTCTATGATTTGAGTGATCTTAAAGATTGGGGTTAGTAAACCTACCCTTTTTATTATTTTTTAATATTTTAATTATTTAAAAGATTTTATTTATTCATGAGAGGCAGAGACATAGGCAGAGGAAGAAGCAGGCTCCCTGCAGGGATCCTCATTCGGGACTTGATCCCAGGATCTCGGGATCACGACCTGAGCCAAAGGCAGACACTCAACCACTGAGCCATCCGGGTGCCCCAACCTACACTTTTTTAAAAAGGAACAAAATAAGAATATATCTGTGATAGCTCATGGCATGCAGTTGAATGCAGGCTACTGCTCCCTCCAGAGTTACATCTGGGAACTTAAAAAACAAACAACAAACCATATAGCTACTTAGAACTGCTTTATTTTTTGTGGAATCTTTGAAGTCATTGGGCCTTTTCTGAGGAACACAAGAAAGAATTTTGAAGAACAGGTTAGGTTAGGAATAAATAAAGCAATTTTACAGGTGAGAATTTTCTGGAAAATATAATTTACTTCCAATGAACTATTTAGTTATCCATTTCTTGCAAATGAAAATTAAAACAAGATATGCATAAATCATATTGTATTACTCTGAACTTACTTTATTTACAAATACATGCATAACATAGGGGCTATGTCTATTTTCACTGCCCTCTGGACATAGAAGGATTGTGTTGTCCCTCTTGTTATTTTAAACAAATGCTAACTTTCTATGACAGGTTTATTGAGATAGAATTCACACATCATAGTTCACCCAGAATGCACAAGTCAGCATTTTTTAGTCTCTTCACAGAGTTGTTCAGTCATCACCACAATCACTTGTAGAACATTTTCACCAACACAAAAATTTGAAACCCCATACTAATTAGCAGTCATTTCTCATTTCCTCCCAGCCCTGCTCCCTTGGCAGCCACCTTTTCTTCCTCCCATCCTCCCTTATCTTTCTTCTCTTTTCCCTCCCTCTCCCCTCCCTTCTTTCCTTTCTAAAAGGAGTTTGATATGTGCTTTATATACCTGATTTTTTGGAAAGTTTGGTAGAAGCACAACCACTTCCAGAATTAGCATGACATATTAACACTTGGACCAAATCGATAAGTAAATTGTCACAAGTTCTTTCCGAAACCAATTAACATATATTTACTTTTGTATATAGACTATTATCCAAGAAGAACAAAATAGAAAGTTAAGAGTTCAGACTTATAAGACTTGACTTTCAGAATGATGTGGAAACTCTTTCTGAAGAAATTTTTCTTACTTTTTCCCCTGAACTTTTCTTATTGGCTTTAATGTGGACTTGCTTCTCTAGTCTCAGTCTGACAAAATGCCCCATGTAAGGCATGGCAAGGAATCATTTCTTGTAACTGTTACTTAGATACCAAGGTGTAGCCACTTCTTGAACTTGTGCCAGATGGATCTTCCAAAGATGTCTCTTATCCAAGCATGAGATCTAGCTTTTTCTTGAGCAGTCTGAAGAAGCCTTAAGGCATCTTCTCTTTCCTGGACAACTTTATCTAATGTACCTCTGGAATCTGCTACCCTTTCCAACTGTTCCAGACTTGGCATTGGCAATCTCTGCCGCTTGGCATCCTGCTCTAGAGTTAGGAGCATGTTTGTTTGTTTCTTTTTTTTTTAAGATTTTATTTATTTATTCATGAGACACACAGAGAGAAAGAGAGAGAGGCAGAGACACAGGCAGAGGAAGAAACAGGCTTCATGCAGGGAGCCCGATGTGGGACTTGATCCCTGGACTGTGGGATCACACCCTGAGCTGAAGGCAGATACTCAATTGCTGAGCCACCCAGGCATCCTGCATGTTTCTTTTTTCAGTAGGACAACCAGAGTTTATGTCTATTTTCATTACTTTCATTCCTAATTGTTGACAGGTCCATGAAGCTCCAAGTTTCATTCCCCCCACCCTAATTTCTTAGGGAATCAAAAATTTTTTTCAATACATTCCTTGACCAGTGGAATAAAGTAATCTACACTAATGAAAAGATGTGACATTTGGTGGATTTTTAGGCAATCTGTGCTAGCCCAAGAAATTGTGACAACCAGGAAGTCTCCAGGGCAGCTGTGAGTCTTCTGTAAAGAACAGCCAAACTGTACTAATCTACTTCCTATCTCTGTAAATTTGCCCATTCTGGACATTTCATGTTAAATAGAATCGTATAATATGTGGTCCTTTGTGATGACCTTCTATGTCAGTACTGCATTCCTTTTAATAGTCAAATAATATTGCATCATATAAGCATACCATATTTTGTTTATCCATGTACCACTTGATGGACATTTAGGTTATTTGGCTATTAATAATACTGCTATGAACATTCATGTACACATTTTTGTGTGGATATGAATTCATTTTATACTTCTTTTTTTCCCCAGTGTCTTTCTCGAGAAGCGGGTGGAAACATGAGCATTCAGTTTCTTGGTACAGTGGTAAGCATGACGGGATTATTATTTTGTATATTCACTAAATTTACAGAGGAGGAATAAAAGTGTTCAACTAGCTTTAGCGCATATATTTGAACTTGTTTTCATCAAGGTTTTACTTTGCTATTAAATGAGATGTCTTTGTTTAATAAATGCATTCTTAATGTTCAAGAGGTTTCCATGATAGAATAATTTTAGCTATTTCTCATTAGAGAGAAAATAGATTTTTAAAAATATTTGCATGTTGTTGAGTATTTTAAGTGCTTTTTTTTTCAATTTTCGGTTTTCTGCCTGTTTTTTAATAATAAAAATAAGAAACCTATTATTTAAGATGCTTTTCCTGTCGGTTTTCCTTATAACTTTGTCTATTAAGTTTTTTTCAAGTACGCATTTCTAAGGAAATGGAGTCATAATTTTGTATCTTGATTTTTTTTCACTTAAGATCCTACTAATCATTTTCCATATTGCTAGAATATATTTATCAGCATCATTTTAGTGGAGCTGTGTTTAACATTCTGGTGAGTGGATATGACATATTTTATTATCTATGAATCCCAGTTGTTAGGTATTTAAGTGACCCCTCATTTTTGCCATTATGAATGGTGTTCTAATGAACAACTTTATGGTTTTGCTTTTTTGATATTTTAAATTATTTTCAAACATGGATATTTTCAAAAATGTATAAGATATATTTCATTCAAAGTAGAATGAAGACCATCAATAATTTTATGGCTTAGTATGTCTTACTTGTTATTTCCTGTCTTTTTACAATGCCCTTTGTCACGTATTAGAATACTGCTTTGCATTCTTGTTAGCAGTAGTTACAGTTTTCAAAATTATTTAACTTTAGCTGGTGAAAAGAAGTTTATTTTACAGTTATTATTTTTCTTTTAATGTGAAGGTAGTGGTCGTTGAAATGATCATATTCATGAGGTATGATCAGATAATAAGGTGCCTTAATGTTTTAATTAGCATTTCTCTGTATATGGGGGGAGAGAGAGAGAGAGAGACAGAGACAGAGGAGGCAAGTCCAAAATATGCATGGTAGGCCTGGGAAGACTTGGAGTTCAAGTCCAAAGACCATGTACTTGGAGGATTCCTTCTTACTTGGGAGGTCAGTCCTTTTTCTTTGTTTAATTGAATTATGCCCACCCTTATTAGGGGGAGTAATCTGCTTTACTCCAAGTCTGCTGATTTAAATTTTAATCTAGGGATCCCTGGGTGGCGCAGCGGTTTGGCGCCTGCCTTTGGCCCAGGGCGCAATCCTGGAGACCCGGGATCGAATCCCACATCAGGCTCCCAGTGCATGGAGCCTGCTTCTCCCTCTGCCTATGTCTCTGCCTCTCTCTCTTTCTCTCTCTGGGACTATCATAAATAAATAAAAATTAAAAAATAAATAAATAGATTTTAATCTAAAAAATATCTTCATAGAAACATCTAGAATAATGTTTGGCCAAAAATCTGGATACTATAGACTAGCCAAGTTGATACATAAAATCCACCATCACTGAAGTATACACATCCCATCCCTTAGTGGCAGTTACATTATTATCAATAGATATGCGGGCACACTTTGGAGATATTGTGAGTTTGGTTCCAGACCTCAGCAAGAAAGCCTATGTTGCAATAAAATGAGTAAAAAATACTGCTGGGGGGGCCTGGCTGGCTCAGAGAAAGTATGACTCTTGATTTCAGGGTTGCAATTTTGAGCTCCATGTTGGGTGTAGATATTAATAAAAATAAATTATGAAAAAATAAAAATAAATAAGAATACTATATTGCTTTAAAATGCTAATCATAATTAGAGCTTTTTTTTTAAAAGATTTTATTTAATCAGGAGAGACACAGAGAGAGAGAGAGAGAGAGAAGCAGAGACACAGGCAAAGGGAGAAGCAGGCTCCATGCAGGGAGCCCCACGTGGGACTCCATCCTGGGTCTCCATGATCAGGGCTTGGGCCGAAGGAGGTGTTAAACTGCTGAGCCACCTGGGCTGCCCCATCATCATAGCTTTCAGTGAGTTATAACCACTGATCCCAGGTCACAATAAAACAGTAATAATGAAATACAGTCATAATGTAAAAGTTTGAAATATTGTAAGGATTATTAAAAAGTGACACAGACATATTGGAAAATGGCACCAATAGATTTGCTTGATGCAGGGTTGCCACAAATGTTCAATCGGTTTAAAAAAAAAAAACCCACAGTATCTGCAACACATAATAAAACAAAGCACCATAGAATGCAGTGTACCTGTGATCTTCTGGAAAGAGAATTACACATCTTCCTAGAATGATCTTATGTGGACGTCTCTCTGTACTTCAGCACTTGTGCTAGAAAGGACTTGTTTTTCTGGATTCTAGCAGAACAGTGTGTTGTCCTTGCTTCCCCTTCTACTACTTCCACCACCCCACCCTGACCAACGCCTTTGTCATCTCTTGTCTTCCCCTAAATGCGATTCATTTACCAGTTAACGTGATCCTTTTAGAGTATAAATCAAGTCTATTGTTCTTGTTACTTTTCTTCAGCAGCATTGGGTGCAGACACCAGGGTCTCTTCACCTACCTTTCCTCTGCCAAGACTGTTTGCCCCCAGGCAACTGCGCGGAAGGTTCCCTCACTTTCTTCAAGCCTTTGGCCACCACCTCAGGGATGACTTCCTGGTCACATTGTTTAAAATTTTTACCACCTTTCCTCTACTTTGTTCTGTTTCTTTAGCAGTTAATCACTATCTGACATATTTTAATGTTTGACATATTTTACTTTTTAAAAACTTGTTTATTATCCATCTCTCCCACTTGGGTAAACTAAGCTCCATGAGCACAGGGCTCGTGACTGTCCTGTCCACCGCTCTCACCCAGCACTCAGAACAGGGCCTTCATACCATAGGCACTCCATGAATGCTTATCGAGTGGATCAATGACATCCATAAGTATGGGACCTAAAGATTCCACTTAAAGACGAAGAAAGCAAATACAGAAACAAAGGAGAAGAAGGAAGAGCCTTGGAGACTGTTTGGGACCTTAACAATGAATCCCTCTTGCCCAAGTGAGGAACTTGAGTCAGAAAAGACAACTCTCTTGGCCAAGGGTTCACAGATAGTGGAGCTCCAGTTTGTCTGCTCAGCCCAGTGCTCTTCCATCAGCAAATGCCCTTTACCTTATTTCTTTTCATCTACTCTAGGCCCCTAAAATACAGCAGGAAACATAATAAACACACCCTACACAGCCATAAAAACTGGACCTGTTTAGGGCACCTGGGTGGCTCAGTGGTTGAGCATCTACCTTTGGCTCAGGTTGTGATCTCAGGGTCCTGGGATCAAGTTCTGCATTGGGCTCCCTGCATGGAGCCTGCTTCTCCCTCTGCCTATGTCTCTGCCTCTCTCTCTGTGGTGTCTTTCATAAATAAATAAATAAAATCTTTATAAAAAAAAAAGTGGACCTGTTTATGTAGCTGATTCCACTGTCTTCCTCCAGGAAAAAAGAGGTGACTTGCTAGTGAATCCTAATTATTTGTCCACATTGTTTATACACTTTGTACAGAGAAGAAATGTCAGTGTCTAGAGTAATTTTGAAGTACTCTAAAATTCTACATCACAGCCATTGAGATGGCCATTGTAGTTTGTTACAGTGCATTTTTCTATGTGTACTATTGGCAGTAATAATAGATCAGTATGAAAGAGAGAAAGAAAAGGTCTTGAGATAGTGGGACTGTTAAGACAGATGCAGAGTAATTTCTAGCAAGCGTGTACTGCTTCACTTCTAATTTCCTAAAGCAGATGCAGTCAGGAAGAGCACTGGTAGGTCACATGGTTAAGGGAAGACTTCCGAAATACAAATTTTCTTTGTGAGAATATTGTAGAATTTTCTATACAAGTTGGCTTTTGAATGTTGATAAACATACCTTCATGTTCAAAGAGTTGAATTTTAGACTAAGAAGGACTTTTGTAAAAAAAAAAAAAAGAAGAAGAAGAAGAAGAAGAAGGACTTTTATGGGGCAACCCGGGTGGCTCAGCAGTTTGGCGCTGCCTTCTGCCCAGGGCATGATCCTGGAGACCCAGGATCGAGTTCCACGTCGGGCTCCCTGCATGGAGTCTGCTTCTCCCTCTGCCTGTGTCTCTGCCTCTCTCTCTCTGTCTCTCAAATAAATTTTTTTTTTTAAAGAAGGACTTTTGTTGCATTGATAAAGTTCAAAAATGTTCTGTCAGTTCAGAGAAGGTACAGACTTCAAAATCATTTCATTTGTTGTTTTACACAATTTGAACTTTAAAAAATACAAGTTTGTTATTTCTCACTAAAATAAATCTCATTTTTTAGTAATTTTTTTAAGTTTATTTTTTTTTATTTTTATTTATTTATGATAGTCACACACACACACACACAGAGAGAGAGAGAGAGAGAGAGAGAGAGAGGCAGAGACACAGGCAGAGGGAGAAGCAGGCTCCATGCACCCGGAGCCCGACGTGGGATTCGATCCCGGGTCTCCAGGATCGCCAGGATCTCGCCCTGGGCTAAAGGCGGGCGCTAAACCGCTGCGCCACCCAGGGATCCCTAAATCTCATTTTTAAAAAAGATTTTATTTATTCATGAGAGACAGAGACAGAGAGAGATGCAGAGACACAGGCAGAGGGAAAAACAGGTTCCATGCAGGGAGCCTGATGTGGGACTCATTCCAGGCATTCCAGGATCATGCCCTGAGCTGAAGGCAGATGCCCAACTGCTGAGCCACCCATGTGTCCCAAAATCTCATTATTAAAATTAGATTGCTACATATATAAATACTAAATATTACATAAAATGTTATAAATACACTTTACACATTTATAATATGTATAAAAGAACATTTATAAAATACTTATAAGTTACAAAGACTAATGATAAAACAAAGACCTGTATACCCACCAGAGTTTTTCTAAAAAACACAAAAATTATCATTACCTTTGAAGTTCACTGTGTATTCCTTCTCAATCCTATCAGATCTCCTTTCTCCTCCTTCCTAATTTTTGTCACA